GAAGAAAAGGGCACATCCCTTTTTGAAATGAGAGGAAAATGTGATAGAGGAAAGAACAGAGAGGAATTAACGGGGGTTGGGAAAGATTCCCTTGGGAGCTGACGCTCACGCAGTCTTTTTTCGGCACATCTTCATGTCTCAGGCCTCTATTCCACAGTAGGGCTTCAAGAGGAGCCTCCCAACAATAACGGAAGTCACTGCTATCAGGTGACTCACCCACTGAGCTATTATCCCCAGTGACCTCCCCCATCGGATCAGCCCTAGCTCACCTGGGCACCATGGTTCTGTCATATCATTTGCAGTCATCCAGGGCTCCTTCCCTTGCTCCAATAAGGAGATGACATCAGGCTTAGAAATGGAAAGTCCTGTTTACAGGGAAAGAAATGGAGCGTGATCACACTGTTCCAAAATTCAAACCCAGTCCCTTGGACATCACGGAAGAGAGGAAGAAGGAAGGTGTGAAGGTTGCCCAAAGGATGGGAAAATGGAGGTGCCCAGTGGAACTACTCATTTCTAGTCCTACAAGGCACAAAATAGTTCTACTGGGAATAGACAGCAGAAACTCAGTCAGAAACTTGTGAGTTGCCCTAGAAATTTACAATAAAGAAACCAGAAATTCCAGAAGGCTAATCCTGAATTATCTGGAGTAGATAAACTGTGGTAATTATTCTCCATTAACTATCTTCTTCCCCTCCAATCCATTCCCTGGCCCTGTCCTTACTGTGAGGACTTTTATTACCCCTGCCCTGTGGTTTCCCATTGGGTCTGGCAGATGGAAAGCGCTGGCAGGAGGCCAGTGGGCAGGAGAGAGAGTGCAGGACATTCTTACCCCTCTCTCTCCCTCCTTCGACCCAGGAGTTCTGGAGGTAGCTATAATTGCTGCTGGCTGATCCCTTCTCTGTGGCTCTAGTTCTTGGCATTTCTGGTGACACTGTTTTCTCTCTTCACCTCTTAAGGCCAGAGGTGGAAACAGCCTCCCATTGTTGTAGTCCCTGAGTGTCTTATTTCCCGTCTGGCCCTGTGTGACACGGTATCCTTACCTAGTGAGACCAAGTTACTGAAGTTCTCCAAGGTCACATCCCTGTACAAGTCCCTCTGAGCAGGCTCCAGGCACTTCCATTCTTCCTGAGAGAACTCTACGGCCACATCCCTGAATGTCACCAATCCCTGAAACAATAAACCCATGCAGCACTAGTAAATTAAAGGACTTTGTTCTTTTTTTTTTTTTACTTTTTATTATGAAAACTTTCTTTATAAATTACCTAGCCTCAACTATTTCTTTATAGCAACACAACAATGGATTAAGGCAGTACTCATTTTATTATTCTTTATGCCACCTATAGGTTATGGAAATGTTTCTGTATATATTTTTTGATAATATGAAATGTTTTATGATTTCTAAAGAGAGGGTGACATTTAAAAATGGAAGAAAGAAAGGAAACCCCACCCAGGTCAATGGAAAAGATCAAACTATCTCATCTTTGGCCCTATTCAACCATGGTTGTGATAAGAGAGGCTCTCATATTTCTCTAGAGAGAATGTATTTCTGCTCCACTGGTGTTCTGGTAAGAACATTACACACATGTGTGAATAATGGTGGAGAAGAGAGGGCCACTAAGGGAAGTGGGCACCATCACTCATTCCCTGGAATGGAGGAACTGTGAGCAGGTTACTGAGAAGTTTCAGGATAAAGAACACAAATGGGCTGGGTGCGGTGGCTCACACCTGTAATCCTGGCACTCTGGGAGGCCAAGGCGGGAGGATCACTTGAGGTCAGGAGTTCAAGACCAGCCTCAGCAAGAGTGAGACCCTATCTCTACTAAAAATGGAAATAAATTAGCCAGACAGCTAAAAATAGACAAAATTAGTCAGGCATGGTGGCGCAGGCCTGTAGTCCCAGCTACTCGGGAGGCTGAGGCAGCAGGATCGCTTGAGCCCAGGAGTCTGAGGTTGCTGCGAGCTAGGCTGACACTGTGGCACTCTAACCTGGGCAACAGAGTGAGACTCTGTCTCCAAAACAAAACAAAACAAAAACTCCACCAATGTTCATGTCATCTCAAGGGAAGAGAGATTATTCCAATGATAGAAAAAATTTCAACATACCTGGGCCATGGCTTTTAGAATTATCTGACCTGCTCTGATTTCTCTGGATTCTTCTCTTGGACAAATGCAGAGTCCTGAAAGAGCAGAATAGGGGGAGAAGGGGTAAATCTCTAATGAACTGAGCTTGTTTTGGCACTCCCAAATAAATGAGCTTAAACCAATTGTACTTCCACTGTCCCTGCTTTGCTTCCCCACCCTCTCCTGGTTCCACTGCACAAACACTAATACTAAGAACTACAGAGTTAACAAAACTCAGCCCCTTCCTAAACACTAAAGAACTCAAAAGCAATAAGACAGTTTTAAGGTAGATGTGCTCCAGCACTGACATAGAACCCAGGCACCTCAGCAGTAGGGATTACAGCTGCAACAGTCTCCCATCTTGCTGATCTAAACCCTGATCCCATCTGCTCCCAAACTGCAGCAAGGAAGATCATAACTCAGACTCACCTACTTTACCCCTAAGGATGAGGACGGCACCATCAGGCTAGGAGCAAAGAACATCTGTGCAGGCCAAACCTGGAGTAAAAAACATCCCTAAATAAAGTCGTTTAGCTTCTCTGGGCTGAACAGGCCAAACCTCTTGGGTATCTCACTGGCTCTATTTCTTCCTTCCAAGTCCAAAATGGGGAGCCCATACCACAGGCTCTCTCAAAGCCTCCATCCCCAGCTGGACTCACCAGACAGGGGCAAGAAAACTCCAGTCATACAGGCATCTTATATGCATACCCGCACATCCAGAGTATTGACCTCAGGGGGAACTCAATTTCTAGAGGCTTCTTGGCTCAGCACTCCCAACTGCTTTCCTGCAGAACATCACTTCCTCACTGACTATGAGGGCTGGGAGTTGCAGAGTCTAGAGTCCTGTGAATGGCCTGCATCCCAAGGTAATAAGAATTCAGGCTTTAATGGAGGGTCTTAAGGCTAACTCTAATTAGAGGTGCAAAAAATTTCCCATGGTGGGGGAGTGCTCAGAAGGAAGATTAATTTAATCAACAGGGGATGGTGTCAAGAAAAATTTCCTGAAAAACACAGAACTGGGTTCTAAAAAATCAGAGAAGTTTAACAGGCAGAACAGGGACAGAGACCATTGTGACCAGAGTAAAGTGCAGTGGCAAAAACAAAAGTATATGGTATGTCTGTGGGGCAGAGAATAATTCAGAATGACTTGTGTAGTCTGGGGACAGGTCCAGACCAGTGCTGTCCAACAGAACTTTCTGTGATGACAGAAATCTTCGCATCCGTGCTATCGCTATCATAGCCATATGTGGCTATTGAGCATTTGAAATGAGACCAGGATGGCTGAGAAACTGAACTTTTTTTTTACTTAATTTTAATTAATCTAAATTTAAATTTAATTCGCTCTAGAATCTAGAGGCAGATAACGCTGGAGATGACAGCAGGGGTTGGAAGATGAAGGTGTATGAATAGCTACGAGAGCCAGGACCAACCGTTCTCATCACCACTCTCACTAGCACTTGCCACAGTGTCTGGATGTAGGTGACCAAACAACACTGGCTGAATATTTAAAAGTTAGGCTTTTACCCACTAATAAAACGGAAGGCAACTGAAGAATTTAAAGAGAGAAGTGACAGGACCAATATGGTCAGATTATTTTGGAGAGGAGTAAAATTCGAGTTAGGAAGACTGAGAGGTGCTTGTACTTTTTCATGCAAACAAAAAGGGCCTGACCCACGACAGTGGCAGTGGAAATGAGGAGGAAGGGGATGAATTCAGAGTTAAAATCCATATGCTCTTCTAGCATCTGATAGACACGGAGGCAGAAAGAGAGAAGTCAGGAGTTCTTTTGTATTTACTGGGCTCCTCCCTCAGCTGGCACTGTTCCAGCCATGCGGGAAAATAAATCAAGTTCCTGTCCCAGTGGATCTCAATTCTAATGGGAAGAGACAATCAACGAATACTGATACACTGATACGGATATTCTTATTGTATGTCAGGTGGCAAAAGTTCTATGGAGAAAAACAAAGAGTAAGGGGACAGGGAGCTTTGGGGGAATGGAGGGTGGTCTGAGAAAGCTTTTCACCAAGGTGACATGTAAGCGCAGCCTGGAGTGAGCAATGCGGGTATCTGAGGACCAACTGTAAAGGACTCAAAGCAGGCACAGGCTTTCCTTGATCAACAAGAGGAAGGGGACAAGAGCAGCTGGAATGGAATGTGCAAGAGGAGGAGGGTCAGAGAGAGAGCTAGAAGCCAGACCCTTGGGGCTTGTAAGCTACCCTAAGAACTTTATTTTTTATTCCTGAGGAAGACAAGAAGCCATGGAAACTTTTCAAAGCAAAGCATGGAATAATCTGATTTACATTTAAAAGAATCACTACTACAGGGGACAAGGGAGGGAAGGGGGGTGACCAGTGAGAAGGTTCCTGCAGTAACCAGGCAAGGAGCGAGGATGTCTGGCATTAGGGTAGTGGTGGGGGAAGTGATGAGAAGTGATGGGAAGTGATGAGATCAGATTCTAGATATACTCTAAAGGTAGAACTGACAGGATTTACTGATTTTAGGTATAAAAGAAAAAAAAAAGAATCTAAGATGACTCTAAGGTTTTTGGCTTGAGCAACTGGAAGTATGAAGTTTCCATGTCTGAGGAGCAGGTTTGGATGGAACAATTACGGAAACACTTGAGATGCTTATTATATACCCAAAGCGGAAACGTTTGCTGGCGGCAGTGGCTCTTGCTTGTAATCCTAGTGCTTTAGGGAAGATCACGTGAGGCCGGGAGTTTGAGAATAGGCAGGGCAACATAGCGAGACCTCATCTCTACAAAAAAAAAATTAGCCGGGCCTAGTGGCATGTGCATGTTGTCCCAGCTGCTTGGGAGGCTGAGGCAGGAGGATCGCTTGAAGCCAGGAGTTCAAGCCTGAGCTATGACCAGCCACTGCACTCCAGCTTGGGTGACAAAGCAAGACCCTGTCTCCAGCAAAATTAAAAATGAATAAATAAATAAAATATAAAACGAAAAGAAGTGTTGGCATAGATGTGGAGAAATTAAAACCCCTGTGCATTGTTGGTGGGAATGTAAAATGGCACAGTTGATGTGGAAAACACTTTGGTGGTTTCTGAAAAGGTTAAAAGATGAAAAAGTTCTGGAAATGGATGATGGTGATGATGGCACAACATTGTAAATGTACTTAATGCCACTGAATTGTACGATTAAAAATGGTTAAAATGGTAAATTTTATGTTATGTATATTTAACCATAGAACAAAAAAAAAGTAACAAGATTGGTTACTACGATAGGTAAGTGTGAACAGGGTAGAAAGAATGGGGGAATGGGATTGGGAGAGAAGAAATGATGGAGGAGTGACTGAGTAGATCATTTTGTCTAATTCTGACTTTTAGAATCATATTATTGTTTCGCATATTCAGAAAAATAATTAAAATCAACCAGGATGGAAAGGGACGCAAAACGAAATACAAACGGTGACAAATGAACAATCTATATTACAAACGAATAATATTATACAAAATGGTGTAGGGAAGAAAGTAGTTTTAGAAAACTGTATTTTCACTATTTATTTATTTAGTACCATAAGACTAAAGAGAAAAAGAACTGTATGGTGTATGCGGGTTTGGGTCAGCAATTCTTAAACTACTTTCTATGTAAAGTAGAAAGCAATGAATAAAACAAATTTTTAAAACAAATTTTAAGCAAGTTTTTCACTGTAAAAGAAAGGAGTTACAAAAAAAAGAAATGGGGGAGGCTAGAATGAACCCTATGGTGCTGGACTGAAACTGTAGATGTGCTATGAACTCATGGGTTATCTGTACGTGCACACATGCAGATAAAGATGTGTGTGCATATAGATACACATATCTCATAGCTGAGAGGGTCTGGAAGCAATGACATCTCAGAAGCAATCGGCATATCTAATCTTGGTTTCAAAATATCATCTTCTAATAAAAGAAATCAGTGCTCCCTGGGAAATTTGTTGATTCTAAGGCTGGGGCAAGGAAGTACAGTATCAATCTAGAATACCTTGTGATGCCAGAAAATAAGGAAGTACTAAAAAAAATAAATAAATAAGAATAAAGGGGCCATATTGAAAGGAAACATGAGTCAACTCAAGGGGCTCCTGATGGCCAAATGTGTGACAATTTAAGCAACCAAATAATGACAGTCATGGATTATAACCTATAAAATAAATTCTAGTCCATACTTATATAAATAATTTAGCAAATAAATGAGGAAGAAGAAAAATCTCTAACAGTAACATTCTAATTAATAAATGAAGGAATGATGGAAACAAAAAACCCCACCATTTGGCAAACAGTTAGTAATAACTTTTTCAGGCAAGCATCATCAGTGGATATAAAGACTAGTAGGTGAAAGCAGGATTAGAAAAAGGACATTTACATAGGCTTAAAGTATTTCTCCAGAAGACACTTATTTTTTTTTTTTTTTTTGAGACAGAGTCTCGCTTTGTTGCCCTGGCTAGAGTGAGTGCCATGGCGTCAGCCTAGCTCACAGCAACCTCAGTCTCCTGGGCTTAAGCGATCCTTCTGCCTCAGCCTCCCAAGTAGCTGGGACTACAGGCATGAGCCACCATGTCCGGCTAATTTTCTCTCTCTATATATTTTTAGTTGTCCAGATAATTTCTTTCTATTTTTTGGTAGAGACGGGGTCTCGCTCTTGCTCAGGCTGGTCTCGAACTCCTGACCTTGAGCGATCCACCCGCCTCGGCCTCCCAGACTGCTAGGATTACAGGCGTGAGCCACTGCGCCTGGCCCAGAAGGTACTTATTAATCATAATGGAAAAAATAGTGACTTTGCAGTAGAAAAATCTGGCAGGCATCACTTTAACCAAGTGATTAAAATTAACATCACTCATAATGTGACAAACTGACCTCATGAGTCCCCTGACGTGATGCACGGAGAAGGACACATCACTTTTGGAGTATTCTTGCCCCAAATGCATGATCTGAATTTAATAATGAGGAAGTATCAGATACCTTCAAATTGAGGAACATTCTACATTGCAGAATCTAAAAATAAATGTCCACTATTCTTTAAAGGTGTCAAGGCCACGAAAGACATAGAAAGACTGAAGAACTGTGTCAGATCAAAGAAGACCAAGGAGACTTACCAACTAACTGCAACATATAATCCTGGATGGGATCCTGCTCCAGAAAAAGGACATTAAGGGACATTGATGAAATCTGAATAAGGTTTGTAGATTAGTTAATAGTAGTGTATCAATGTTAATCTCCTGATTTTGATCATTGTACTGTGATTACATATAATAGTGATATATGGAGAAGCTGAATAAAGAGTATATGAGAATTCTATTTTTGTAACATTTTAAAGTCTAAAACTAATTCAAAATGAAAAGTTAAGAGTAATTTTTAAACTAACATTAGATGTGCAGGGAGCAGGGAGGATATGGGCCTTTTAGTCTGTTTCTAGGTCACCCACTAAATTACTCCTATGGCAAATACTTGAGACCAGGTTACTTTAGCCGGGTAGTGGAGAAAGGGGGGTGGGGAAGGGTGGCGGGGGGAGGTGGTTCTGTTACAAGAAATTTCAGAAGAAGCAAAGAAAAGCACACATCGAAAAACAAGAAGGGTTTCAGAGAAAGAAGAATAAAACTTGATGCACCTTGAACTTAGCTTTTGGACATTCAATAGCACCTTTCTTGGAGAAGGATTACAAGAAAGGATGAATGATCTTTTTTTTGAGTGATCATCCCTCTACCCTACCACACAGAGGAGGAGGTCAGAGAAGACTGGTCATCCTGTTCAATCCCAGTATCACCGGGAAAGGCTGAGGTCACTTCACTACTGCCCAGGGCCAGAATCTGTCCCAACTTCATAGGTTCTGCAGGGGTCAGAGCTCTGGAGTCACTGGCACACTTGGTGCTGCACAGATGGTCACAATGTCACATAAACATAGCCACACATCCACTCTTGACACACAAGGACACAACCACATAGTCACAGACACCTCCACACCCTTACACAGAGTCACGATCACACACCCACTAAGAAGATACGCTCAGTCACACAATCTAATTACCACTGTGATACACGGTCACTCCCATATACAGGAACGGGCTCCCCATCCAACACCCAAAAATGCCCTACATAATCACAAACACCCAGTCGGGACACACACACACAATCACTGGTACTTTACGTCACCCAGCCATAACTGAATATTTACTCTGGAGACACACACAGTCACATTCACACAAACAAACCCCACACCCTCGCAGACGGCATCACACACTTACACAATCACCATTTCTCACCCACCCCTCGCCAAGGGACACAACAGGAATGCACACGCAGTGTCACCACACAATCATAGGTATATGGCAAATGCACACCGTACCACACACGGCCACAGTGTCACACAACCAAAACTATACATCCACCGTGCAGACATACCGCATAGACACCCTCATCGGTCACACAGTTACAACTATACCCACACCGCAGGGAACAAGGCGTACAGACTAACATACACAACAGAGACACACACGCAGTATCACCCCCACAGCACAAGGATCCCATACCCCAATACGCAGTATCACACGTGGTTACACAAAAACAACCAGACGTGCACCCTAGAGACAGGCGCCCACATCGGGTCACACAGCCACAATCAAAGACATTCAGAACCGCACATCCACAGCCCGCTCCCGCCTGCGCGCACAGACCCAAGGCTCCGGACACGCCCCGTCCCCGCCCCGGACTCCCAGACCCCTCACCTTCTGCCTCCCCGGTCGCGTCCGGGTCCTTGCCGAGCTAATGATTTCGCCAGCGCGTCAAGAGAGGCGTAATGTCGGGCCGCTGTGGACTCTGGGAAATGCAGTCCAGACCCAGACCAGCCTCGGACAAGATGGCGTTCTCTCACCTCTGAGTCTGGGCTTGGCCTGTTTTGACATTGCGCCCGGGAGGCTTCAAAGAAGGAGCTCCCACTCCAAAGTGCCCAGCAGGCTTGAGCTCGTCGGACTCCAAGGGAACACTGCGTACCCTGAGAGCTCCACAATCACAGGAAGAAGCAGGCAAGTTTGCGGGGCAGGGGCAGGGGTGGAGATAGCGATACGGAGAGTAGGCCAGCAGAGCCTTAAGGGAAATGTAGTCCGAGACCGGAAAAGCGGCATCGCGGGTAGTAGAAGGTAATCACATACCAGCCTGGGCTTGGCGGTGGTGACAGAGCCGGGCCACGGCGCGGAGACTTCTGGGAGTGCTTACTTGTCCTCGGAGTGCGCAGGCGCGGCGCACCGAGTGGACATTTTGGTCTTTGTCCGCGGGTCAGTACGGCCCCTGGGTCCACGTGGCGCGAAAGTAGGAGGTGGGATGTGGGCGTCTCGGGTCGGTCGGGCCGGGGAGGTTGAAGGGGAGGATTCCCGATCTCCGGGGACGCGGCGCAGGGGTGGGGAGTGGGTCTGAGCGCTTCTGGCCTACGTGTGGGGCGGAGGTGGGGGCCTCCGAGGCGGGTTTGAGCGTGTGTGACCCTGAGTTTGACCGCAAAGTTTGACCTAATGTTTGGGATTGAGTGAATGTGAAATTGCGGGTGTAGGATTGTGCGTAGTTGTGCCTAAGGAGATGTGAGAGACCAGCATTGAGGTATAACGTTCGAGCCGCACTTCCCTTGTCGAAAATGTGGGTAATCATAACGGTGCCATCTTCCTGGAGCATCTATTTCACTTGAAAATATGAAGGGGTGGAAAACCTAAATGGTGAATAATTTTAAAACGGATTTCTATGTAAAACGGCGTTTCTTTTTAATTGGGGTAGTATGTAAATCACCGTGACCTTTTTTTAAAAACAAGAATATTTCAAAGGAACTTTTTCTTAAAGAGCTGTCTGCTTCACGCTGTTCAAATCCCCAGGTCTGTGAGGTACTTTAATAGGGCTGTTAGGCGAAGCCCTAGACTAAATAGCGTTACGTTTTGAGAAGCAGTGTCTTATAATGCAGAAGGCCCAGGAATGGGGAGCCAAGGGTTCTAGGGTAGGCACAGTTAGCCTCATTTTTTGGAGAAAACTTAGGTGTTGCAGTGTTTATCCAGGAGTCTGGACTAGATTCTAGGTGTCCTAATTCTTTAATGAGTCGAGGTTTCTCAGGTTGGATGGATTTTGTGAAATACTGTGGAGAAAACTAAACTTCTGTCTGCTAAGATGCCTTTTCTAAGGAAATCACCCACAGTCGTCCTTCGCATAGTTTTAAATAATAAAAAGCTAAAGTAATTGGGTATCATAATGATAGCTACAAATAAATAGCTTTCAAATTTACAAACAATACCAGTTAGAATATATAATTGAAGAAAACTAATATTTACAATAGCAATAAAAAGATAAAATATTGAGGAATAAATTTAAGAAATGTGCAAAACCATTATAAAAGAACTTTAAAATACTACTAAGGGTCATAACATAAGATGTGAACAAATAGATAATACCGTGAGACTTAAAGAAGTGTGTGTGCACTTAAGTAAATTTATTAATTTAATGTGATCCTAATAAAAGTATAGACAGATTTTTTTTCTTTTGGAACTCAGTAAGCTGATTTGTTAAACTCCATATGGAAAAATAGACAAGCTACAAGAGCCAGTAAAAATCAGAAAAAGAAAAGCAGTTGAGGTGTGGGTAGGTGGGGACCCAAATGTGACACATTTTTAAAATTGAAAGCCTCAGAAATTTAAGTAGTATTGGTATTGGCATGAACAAAGCCTATGAAGGGCAATTTGGCAGTGTTTATAATATTTTCTTTTCAGCCCATTTATTTCACATCTGGAAATCAATCCTAAAAATGTGTCTGCATTCGCATGAAACAATATAGGTTTGGGGTTGCTCATTGCAGCAGTGTTTGGCATAGAAAAAGATTAGAAACAATTCATGCCCATCAGGAGGAGATTGGTTTCATAAAACTATGGTACACTCATGCAAAAAATAATATGCAGTTGTACAAAAAAGACTGACGAGGAAACTTTCAATATACTGACAGTCAACTCCCAAAATGTATTGTTAAGTGAAAAAAAGCAAGGTGCAGAATGTAGAGCTTCATTTGGAATAAGAAAGAGGGTAATAGAAATATGTATTTGTGTGTATGTTTCCATTAAAAAACTCAAAAGATGCAAGAAACTAACAAAAATGGCTATCTCTGTGGGGGAGTGGGAGTACTGGAATAGATAGGGCAAAGGCAAAGACCTTTTTGTTTTCTAACTGTATGAATGTAGTGTATATACTAAAGTTAATTTTTTTTTAAAGGAGGACATAGGAAACTCCTTCTTCTGCCAGTTTGTACCTCAGTGACCTTAGGTACTTAAACGTTGTGCCTCAGTTTCTCATCTAGTAATGTAGAGATAATAATAGTGTCTGATGCACAGGATGGTTGTGCAGATCTAGAAGTTAATACATGTGAAGTTCTAAGAATAGTGCCTGTCATGTAGTAAGTACTTGATAAGTGTTAAGTACTATACTGTTACTACTAATCTGAAAAAAACATCCTTCCTTAGTAGAACAGCCATTTGTACTGTGTCTCATAGAAATTTCTAGAAGAATGGGATGTGTAGCTGCACTTTTTTTATTTCCGTATTTAAAATATTTAACTTTAAAAAATGTTTTAGACATTTTCTTTTTCTTTCCTTTCTTTTTTTTTTTAAATGAGAGTAGGTCTCACTGTGTTTTCCAGGCTGATCTCAAACTCTTGGGCTCAAGTGATCCTCCTGCCTCTGTCTCCGTAGCTGGGATTACAGGCATGCACTAGTGTGCCCAGCTTGGACGTTTCCTTTCTTAACTGGAATGAGGAAGTTAGAATTCTGTGTTTAAGTTATATTCATCTTTAGACGCATCACTACTTCTTCATGAGATATGTTCTTTAATTTCTAGGATGGTTACTTTCACATTGTTTTAATTCAGAATCTCTGATGATGTTTTTAAAAAATTCTAACTGTGACTCATTTTTGGCCAGAATACATCAGAAGTGATCTTACATATTTGAAATTGCATCACATCAGGAGAGACACATTGTATGGCTGGTCCACCATTAGTGATTATTTAATTTCCCTTTATGACTAAAATGTAATCTGTGTGGTTTTACTTTGGACCAGTCCCTGTCAATCATTTAATGGATGGTTTTAACACCAATAAATAATCCTCGGCTGAATCAGTAAATTTTTACAGGGCTTGTGAAGTGATGATTTTCTAGTCTTTTCATTCCTTTTACGCTTATTTGATTGTTAACCTCAAATTGTATCAAATTTTTCCTGGCTTTTTCTTTTTTTTAAGCATCATTTTAAAGTCATAGAGATTTAGTGTGTTCTAGTCAACTACACTTTTTGATGCCAGTAGACATTCTTTCAAGCCATCTCGTCTCATTTTGACTTGGCATCATTTGTCTTTGAAAGCTTTCTTGTACTCCAGGCTCACCTTGTACCTTCCATCCCAGACCTGGAATTGGCCATTTCTCTAAGGAGTTCTGGTTCCTTTTAGTGGAGAATGGTATTAGAGAACAAGATCTGGGGTGTGCTCATTTTAATGACAGAGCTATACAATATTTATTTTTTTAAAATCATGAGTCCATATTCATAATTCTAATTCTGTTTAAATGGAATGGTATTTTTACCTAATTTCTTAGCTCCTAATTATATTTTATAGCAAAAGTTTTGAAACAAGTTACCATAAGTACTTATTTTCTTTGCTTTATCCTGCAATGTAAAGAAAATGGTCTCAAAATAACAATACCAATGTTGGTAGTAACCATAAACATACTGTATCATGTTGAAAATTTCTTTAATATATGTAGCTATTTTTTCCTTAGAATGTAGGGAAGGTTCTGTGTTCTAACTTTTTTTTTGAGACAAAGTATCACTCTGTTGCCATGAGTAGAGTGCAGTGGCATCATCATAGCTCATTATAACCTCAAACTCCTGGGCTCAAGTGATCTTTCTGCCTCAGCCTCCCCCTAGTAGCTGCGACTATAGGTTCATGCCACCACACCTGGCTGATTTTTCTATTTTTAGCAGGGACTGCGTCTCAGGCTGGTCTCCCACTCCTGAGCTCAAGCAGTCCTCTCGCCTAGGCCTCCCAGAATGGTAGAATTACAGGCCTGTCTTCTAAAGTCATTTGAAATCTTTTGTCTGAGGAATTATGTTACTAAGTTAATATACAGTTGGGTTCATTTGTTCTAATTTGTTTTCAAGTTAAGCAACTGCTCTTTGTCAAAACTGAATTTGATTACTTATAAAAGTAAGTAATACATGATTGAACAAAAATTCATCTTACAGAGATACCTCATTCTGCTCCAGTCCCCCAGTGACAGTCATCTTTGTCCGTGTAAACATAGTTTCTTGTTTGTTTCTTGTTTATCCTTCAAGTGGGTTTTTTGTTTGGTCACTATTATGTTTTTTCTTCTCCTATTCCCCACCCTCCTTACATAAAAGATTGTGTACCATATATACCTCTGTATACTTCACTTTATTCATTAACAACATGTCTTCCAGATATCCCTTCTTTTTTTTTTTTTTTTGAGACAGAGTCTCACTTTGTTGCCCTGGCAAGAGTGAGTGCCGTGGCGTCAGCCTAGCTCACAGCAACCTCAAACTCCTGGGCTCAAGTGATCCTCCTGCCTCAGCCTCCCAAGTAGCTGGGACTACAGGCATGCGCCACCATGCCCGGCTAATTTTTTCTATGTATTTTTAGTTGTCCAGATAATTTCTTTCTATTTTTTTAGTAGAGATGGGGCCTCGCTCTTGCTCAGGCTAGTTTCGAACTCCTGAGCTCAAACAATCCGCCCACCTCGGCCTCCCAGAGTGCTAGGATTACAGGCGTGGGCCACTGCGCCTGGCCAGATGTCCCTTCTTAATCATTATCTTTTTTTTTCTTTTTAACTGCTGTATGAATAAGATGCCATTGTATGGCTGTACCATAGTTGACTCAGTCTCCTATTGTAGAACATTTGGATTATTTCCAGTCTTTTGCTTTCATTAACAATGCAGTGATGAATAATTGTGTGCGTGTGTCATTTTGTAATTATGCAGGAGTATCTCTAAAGTAGATTGCCACAAGTGGAATTGCCCAGTAGGTAAGTACCTACACTCCCTTTAGCAATGTCCAAGAGCACCTTTTCCTCTAGAACCTCACCATCAGAGTGTGTAGTGTTGAATATTTGATTTTTTTGCCAAAGGCATAAGTGACAATTGATACCTTGGTGTAGGTTTAGTTTACATCCCTTATTATGCATGAGATTGAGTATCTTATGTTTAAAGGGCCACATATATTAATCTGGGAACTGTTCCTATCCTTTTCCCCATTTTTCTATAGGATGTCTTTTCCTTCTAGAAACTATCTGTATGTTAGAAAGGTTAGCCCTATATGAAATGAGTTGCGTTTTTTTAAAAAGTTTTTCATTTGTGTTTTGACATTGTTCACAGTGGTTGTTTCTTTTTTTAGAGCATGCAGAATCAGGAAGTATGTGTGTGTGTATTTATTTGAGACGAGGTCTCTCTATGTTGCCTAGGCTGGCCTCGAATCCCTGGACTCAAGCAATACCCCTGCCTTAGCCTTCCAAGTAGCTGGGACTCTCCAGGCATGTGCCACTGCACCTGGTGGAGGTTATTATTTTTATTAAAGTAAAATTAGGTAGTTAATTTTAATGCAAATCTAAAAATTATGTAGTTAGATTCATCGATTTTTTTTTTTTCCATTTATGATCATAGTCAGAAAGCCTTTTTCCACTCCAAGTTTCATTCCTGTTTTCAAATTCTTACCAGGTTATAGTTTTTATAGGGTTTCATTTTCATGTTTTTATTTTTTATCCATTTAGAGTTTATCCTGGTGTATGCTATCAGGTATGCATCCAGGTTTATCTTTTTCTAGTTGGCTTCCAAATTCTTCTGATACCATTTGTTATCCTTGCTATTTTAAAATGCCACTTTGATCAACCAAATTCTCACATATATTTGGTCTATTTCTGGACTTTATGTTCCCATCCATCTTCCAGTATACATTCATGTACCAATATTAATTTTTTTATTGAGGCTTTATAATTGTGTGTTTTTTTTTTTTTTCTTAGAGATGGAGTCTTGTTCTGTTGCTCAGGCTGGAGTTTAGTGGCCTGATCATAGCTCACTGTAACCTTGAACTCCTGGGCTCAAGCGATTCTCCCACTTCAGTCTCCTGAGTAGCTAGGACTGCAGGTGTGCATGGCCATGCCTGGCTAATTTTTTAATTTTTTTCTAGAGATGGGGTCTTGCTGTATTGCCCAGGCTGGTCTCAAATTCCTGGCCTCAAGTGATCCACCCACCTTGGCCTCCCAGAATGCTGGGATTACAGGCATGAACTTTCACTCCTGGCCATAATTATGTTTTACTATTGGGTATAGCTGGTCTCCTAATTGCTTCTCCTTTTCAGTTTTCTGACTATTTTTGCTATTTACACTTTAGGATTAGTTATCTAGTTTCAGAGGAAGAAAAGAAAGAACTTGTTCTTTTTATTGGGATTGCATTAAATTTATAAAAATAACTTAGGGGATAGGGACATCTTCATGATGTTAAATGTTCCTATCCATGTGTATAATAAGTATTTTATTTCTTCCAATTTCCTTTTGGGTCCTCTGGGGTGTTTTTAAAATTTTCTTCATATAGGTTTTAAACACTTCTCACTAAGTTTATTTCTAGATATTTTCTTTTATGTTGCTGTTTTGAATGTAGTCGTCGGTACATTTGGAGCTTATTGATTTCAATATATTTTATTCCCTGCTTACTTTACCGAGTTATTTATAATTATATTAAATAATAATTGAGGCCGGGGGCATCCTTGTCTGTTTAGAATTTAGTAGAAATGCCTCCAATGTTTTTATAGTAGATAAGATGCTGCCTTTTGTGATCAGATACAGATTTATGATTACTTATATAGATACAGGTATAGTTTACCCATGCTGCCTGGGTCTCTGTGGGTTTGAGGAGAAACAAAAAGTTTTAAGGCCGAGTCCACTGCTATACTGTAGATGCAACAGCCAGGAAAAATCACATTAATCAAAGAAACAAAAAATCCTTCCAAAATCTGTGACATTGCAGTCTTAAAGAAAAAATCGAATGGAACAAAAAGAAGATGTCCATTCCTGTTCTTCCATTTTCTGTCCATTCCGTTCTTTTAGGTGACCATATCTTTACTCACTTCCTCTGTTTATCTCTTCTGTTCCTTTTATAGCTGTGCTTGCTTCTTAAAGTTTTTGTGTCTCAGGTTCATTTTGTTCTGTTTCATTTTTCATCTGCTTTGTGACAGTATTTGTTAGGTGAATTTATTTAACTGTTGGAAGATTATGCTGCTCATTTTCACCATTTTTCTTATAGTACCCTTGTGTGGACAAATAATTTTGTTACTCATGTTTGTATGAAATAGTTTTTCCTCGACAAGTACCTGGAAAAAGGCATAGTTAGCATTCTGTGTTTCCAAGCTCACGTGACCCTTCTAGTGTTAGAGCAAACGACTCCTGCTCCTTATCACTGACCAACTTGTGTGTTGGTCACTGAGGCCAACTTGTATGTTCAGCCCTGTGCTTCCCATAATTCTTCACAGTACCTACCTTCCAGGATGATGCATTCACTTTTAGAAGTTGCTAAATCTGACAACTCTGGATACCCCACTACCAAGTGCTTTTCAAGCCCGCTCTTTCTGCTTCCCCCTGCAGTCCTTTATCAGGTATTCCCCCTTAGAATGAGGCCTTCTCATTCATTCCGTAAGGAAATATTAGCTACAGTATTCTCAACTCTGAACAGTTCAAGTCCTTGGAACTCCCTCAGCAGTCCTGGTTCTTCCTGAGCTGTCTTTGCAATTTCCTGTTTAGGCCTTCTATTTGGGTTTGCATTGGATGGCGTTTGAATTTTTTTCTGCCCTTAAACAAAAATTTTTTGTTCATTATTAGGCTCGGTTACAGTTGTTTTCACTCAGGTGAGTTTCTCATTTTGAGAATGGATATTTGCCCATTATTTATCAGTTACTATCTCAAGTGCTGCTTCTTGCTACACTGACCACACTACGGTGATTCTTGTACCACTTCTGCTATTTTGGGTGTTTTGGGCCACACTTAAACATAATTTGGAATTAATATTTTCTCTCTACTAGTTTCTCAAAAGATATAGTATATGGATTGGCTGGTTGGTTCTCCATTCTCCCAGTCCCATTATTTTTGATGTTTTGTATGGTTTTCTGGAGAAGTACTTGAAAAATTCACAACTAATCTGCCACCACACTCCTGTGAAGCTTTTTGCCTCCTTGACTATTGGTGTTCCTAGGATTGTTTCCTTGAACATCTTCATATTTTGTGTGTGTTTTCTATAAGCAATCATAGTAACATTCTACCTGTAGCTTCAGCAGCAGTGATAGTCCAACAACTGGCAAATTCCCATTCCCATTCTAGGCCTATTCTGAGCATCTTCATCTGTATTTCCACCTGCCTAATGGCTGTATCTGCCTGCATGTTCCTCAGAAATCTGACACCAAATGTACAGAATATCAAACTTGATCTCCTTCCTGCAGGTTGCTTCCAGTCAACTCACCTGCTCATGTTTCTCTCATGTACATTACTATTTAAATTAGACTGTAAGCCTTGTATCTCTGACACACCCTGTTACAAATTTTAACAAATGTCATAGATGGGGAGTGTGTATGTGTAAGTAGGAATTTAAATGCTTTATGATTTTGCTTTTTTATATGATTTGAACCTCATAGAAAAGTTGGAATAGTACAGAGAAGTCTCATGTATCCAAATTCACTGGTCATTTATATTTTGTTTTTGCTTTATTTTTTTCTTATTTCTCCAAATATGTGTGTGTAATTTTTTTCCTGAACCATTTGAAACTAGTTGGAGACATGCTTCCTTTTTCTATAAATACTTGGGTGTGAATTTTCTAAGAAGAACGTTTTCTTTTATAACTACAGTACAGTGATCAAAATCAGGAAATTTAATATTGATCTATTATAAACAATCCAAAATCCATATTGAAATTTGATCTGTCATCCCAATAATGTATTTTATTGATTTAAAAAATATATTTTTTGGGGGGGAGGAAATATTTTTTTTTTTCTGGAGTACATTGGCTATTCACAGGCACACTGCAGCCTGGAATTCCTGGGCTCAGTCAATCCTCCTGCCTCCCTAGTAGCCTGGGGCTGTACTCTGCACCACTGCACCTGGCTTGAAAATGTTTTTTGAATGAATGGATGAACCTGCATTTATAGGACATTTCTAATATGATATCATTTCACTCAGAATATAATACAAACAAGCTAAATATTAGGACTCCAGGAGAACATTTGAGTTTTTATTCTTGGATACTGTCGGAACAGCTTGCTATGCATCCTACCCAGGCAGCTTAGTTCTAATAGGCATGTGTTGTTACAGTGAGTTCATCCAGGAATAAGGGCCATGGTTAAAGTCCTCTCAGGAGCTCGTGTGGGAGTGTGGTGCTAGAGAGCAACAGCAGTCAGTCACATAAGGAACGAACAGCTTTCCTATGTCAGTAAAATTCTAAAAGTTAATTTTCCCTTTTCTTCTCCTATTTCTGGATGTGTGGAAACATTAAATGGAATGAACATGGCTTTGAAGTTTAGTCCCTTTGCCCACATAATTGTGTGTGCTTTAGTCTCTAAGGCAGAAGGTCACTACTTTGTTCTGTTTCACAGGGCCACTTCCTTGGGCATCCGTGGAAACTGCACCTTCTTCATCCTTCAGAAGGCCAGGAGGCCCCAGAGCTCAGCCTGAGTTCTAGGATGGTACTTTGCCCCCAGCATTAACACTGTAGTGCTGTGTCATTTCCCTGGTATCAGGTTATAAAGTGACCAAACTGTTTGTGTGATCCTCCATCGAAGCAAGACAACAAACTGTATGGTGGAGAAAGAAGTAGAAAGGAAGTCTGCCCAGGTAAGTGAATGATGACAAGGCAAGTTGCAGTTGTTTAGTCAATATTTACATCTCTGAAATGCTTTGATGTTTTCTTACAGGTGCTAGTCTTGGGGTATCATTTGGTGTGAATTTTTTAGATACCCGAATGATATTTCCAGTCATGATGTTTTTCTGTTTCAGTGCTCCTTTCATCAGATTCTAGAGAAGCAGATGCCCCTCTTAGCTCTCTTCTGATGTGAACACTTTGTACTTCATTTGTGCTGCCTCTGTTGTGATTGTTCTCCTCCACTCTCATATCCAGTTTTATATCGCCCTTTGTGTATACATTCCTTTCCTCATGCATTGTCCTTTGTAGGTCTTAAGTCTTTATATAACATCTGATGTTTACATTCCTTCTTGTTACTTACCACTTTTCTGTAATTCTTTCAGTGGCTAAATACCTCAGTTATATTTTACATTAGTATTCATGCTTTTTTCTTCTTACCCACCTCGATAACGCTACCCCTAATGCTAATCCTAACACTAGCTTTAACCCTAATGCTAACCCTAGCCCCAACACTAAAACTAGGCTTAAGCTTAACCATAACCCTAACACAAACCCTAGGCCTAAACCTAGACTTAGGGCTAACACTAATTGTAACCCTAGGCCTAACATTAACCCTAAACCTAACCCAAACATAACACTGGCCCTAACAATAATGCTAACCCTAGCCCTAACCCTTACGTAGCCTTCACCCTAGCCCTAAACCTAAAACTAACCCTAACCCTCAATCTAACCATAGCCGTAACCCTAGCCCTGAGCCTAGCAGTAACCCAAACCCTAAACCTAACCCTAGCTCTAGGCCTAAACTTAGCCTTAGATCTGACACTAATCCTAACTATAGACTTAACCCTAGCCCTAGCCCTAACCCTAACCTTATCCCTGCTTCTAACCCTAACCCTAACCATAGACTACCCCAACCCTAAAGCTAGCCTTAATCCTAATCCTAGCCCTAACCCTTACTCTGACATTAACACTAGCCCTAACCCTAACCCTCACCCTGGGTGCTGTTTGTTATCTGGTAGGCTTCAGTGGATGAAAAGTAAAATGCCTAATGAACCACTGGTTTTCTCCCTGCGGAAGCATTATACTACCGTACTCTAGTGAACTCAACCATGGCCAAGTCCCTTGTTTTGGCCAATGAAATGTGAAGACACATTCCAGTTACCATTTTGGAGGGGCGCATCCCAATGAGGTTTATCACAGGCTTTTCAGTTTCTCCAGAGTAGGATCCTCTCATACCCTGCTTATAGGTATATATACCTGGTTGCCAACATTTTTTGGCCTTAGTTGCAGAATGGTGCTGGGGATCTCACCATATTATACCTAAATTTAATCCCATTGATTTCAGTGTAGTACCTCATTCCTGTCATCTCAATTTTCTGGGTGTCTCTGAGCTCTGATTAAATTTCTGAAAAGAATACACTTCAATTTCTTATGGAGAAGTAGTCCTTTGTTCTCATGACTGGATCGGTGCAGATCCAACTGCTTCTTACGCTATGTCTTGTTTTCAGCCAGCATCCCTTACTCGGTTTTTAAAAATACTTGGTTTCCTTTATTTCCTCAGTCTTTCTGATACTTTGTGGCATAAATCGGCTTGCTTAACACTTGCATCCTTATCTGCAGTACGTTTAGGTTATTTGAACTTCCTCAACTAACTGCTGTGCATTGAAAAGCTTCCATATGTTTTCCATTATTGAAAAATTTGTTCTGAACCAGTGTCTCCTATATATTCTTTCATCCTGTGAGTTTGTACCATTTTCCCTTTTCTTGTCATTTTAATGGCATTTTTGGAGGAAGCAGTTGTTGGTTGATCTTTTCCCTTTCTTAGAGATATTAGTGTTATTTCTCTTCCTTAGCATCCCTGGTGGATTTTAACATTTTTATGTGGTCCTCTTTTTATCTTGTTTGGCAATTCCTCATTGTTAGGCAATTTGCTGAATTCTGAAATGAAAAGGTTATTTTTCTAGAGTAATCCAAGCTTTGTGGACCCATGAATGTTAATTTTCTTCCTAAATAAACTCCACAGGGGTTCCTGTCCCAAAATTTAGTTGGAGACATTGATCATATTGATTCTTTTCATGCTGAGTTATGGGCTACCTGAGTTAATCCCAAGAAAGCACGATCTAAAACTTTCTCACTAGTAACGTAATGGGAGAATTCACAAATAATAGTGATGGTAGCATAAAGATACTATTTATTGAGTGCTTATTAACATGTGCCAGCCACAGTTCTGAACACTTTATACATTAATTCCTTTAAATGTTGATTCTTTGTACTCCATTTTAGAAGACGCCCGAGAAGAAGATGAGCAGATAGAGAGCAACAAGATTTGGGAGGCAAGTTGCATCCATTGCCAATAAAGTACAGACTGAGAAAAAAAACAGTGAATATAAGAATACTGGAAAAGTACTTCTGATCTCAGACCTTGTATTTTTTAAGGTAACACCTTTATGAGTTTGAAAGACATTTAGACTTAATCATGAGAGAAGTTGTGTAGAATCATCAATTTAGTTCGGAAATCCTCTACCACAGCTTATTCTTTATAGTATTAACTCCCTTTCAGTGGAAATGCCTTAGTTTAAGAGTTTGTACCCATTTATACCAGAGTATTCATACTGGAGAGAAACCCTATGAATTTATTGGATGTGGGGAAGCTTTCACTCACATGTCACATCTCATTGAACGAAGAAGTCATGCTGAAGAGAAATTCTGTGCTTCTAAGGAATATAGAAAAGCCTTTAGCTAGATGACAAATCTCATTGAGCAGCAGAAAATTCATGCTGGAGAGAAACCAGGGAATGCAGTAATATATCATTGAATATTAAAAAATTTATACTGGAGAGAAAGCTTTGAATGTACTGAGTATGATAAAATTTTCTCTCAAACCTTACCCCTTACTTTGCATTTGAAGACCATACACAGAGAAGCCTTATAAATGTAAGAAATGTGGAAATATCTTCAGCCAAAAGTAAATTCTGATTCATCAAAAAATTTATACTGCAGAGAAACCTTGTGAATGTGGGAAAGCTTCCATTCAGATGTCACACCCCAGTCAGCAGAGAATTTACAGTGGGGAAAACCCCTTTGCCTGCAAGGTATGTGGGAAAGCCTTCAGCCACAAATCAAATCTCACTGAACATGAGCATTTTCATAATAGAGAGAAACCTTTTGAATGTAATGAATGTGGAAAAGCCTTTAGCCAAAAGCAGTATGTCATTAAACATCAGAACACCCATACTGGAGAGAAGCTTTTTGAATGTAATGAATGTGGAAAGTCCTTCAGCCAGAAGGAAAACCTCCTTACCCATCAGAAAATTCACACTGGAGAGAAACCTTTTGAGTGTAAAGATTGCGGGAAAGCTTTCATTCAGAAGTCAAACCTCATTCGACATCAGAGAACTCACACAGGAGAGAAGCCCTTTGTGTGTAAAGAGTGTGGAAAAACCTTTAGTGGCAAATCAAACCTTACCGAGCATGAGAAAATCCATATTGGCGAGAAACCCTTTAAATGTAGTGAATGTGGAACAGCTTTTGGCCAGAAGAAGTACCTCATAAAACATCAAAACATTCACACTGGAGAGAAACCCTATGAATGTAATGAATGTGGAAAAGCCTTCTCTCAACGAACATCACTTATTGTACATGTGAGAATTCATTCAGGTGATAAACCTTATGAATGCAATGTATGCGGAAAAGCCTTCTCTCAGAGTTCCTCTCTTACGGTCCATGTGAGAAGCCATACAGGTGAGAAACCCTATGGTTGTAATGAATGTGGGAAAGCTTTCTCTCAGTTCTCAACCCTTGCTCTGCATTTGAGAATACACACAGGTAAGAAGCCTTATCAATGTAGCGAATGTGGGAAAGCTTTCAGCCAGAAGTCGCACCACATTAGACACCAGAAAATCCATACTCATTAAAAGCCCTGTGAATACCTTGAAAATAGCAAAATTTTCATTAGGAATTTACACCTCATAGTGCATCAGAAATAATCATTCTGAAGCAGAGCTCCATAAATGAATTAAACTAACAAATACTAAAAACTTATGGGATACCAGAAAATTCTTACTGAAGAGAAAATCATTTGTATGATAAAAAGCCTACAAAAAAACTTACAGCAGAGGCAATGCTGAAACTTTAGAAACATTTCCACTACAATGGAAACAGAAAACATGACTGTTATCATTGCTCTCATCGTCGATCTGGAGATCTTCACTGTGTAATAAGGAAAATATATTGTAAGTATTGAAAATGAAGAGACAAAAATAAATGATAGGATCAACTACAAATGTAAATTATTATAAGACTCTTGTGGTATTGATTCAACGGAGCAGAAGAGAGTCCAGAAAGAGATCTATGCATTTATTAGAATTTAGAATATGACAGAAATAGCATCAGGTGAGGAAATAATGGGACTGTTTTTAAAAATGATTTGGAGATAATTTGTTCTCCAAGGGGGAAAAAATAGATCATGAACTATGAACAAAACCAAAATCTACAGAGACTAAAAACAGTAATATGAAAAAGCTATATTCTGAAATGGTTATGACCTTGGGAAGTAGGGAAACATTCCTTGTAACAACTTCAAAAATACTTATTAATTCTACTCGTGAGTATATATGCTCAGGAAATAATGTACCAGGATATTAACTATGGTTTGATTTGTAGTAGACAAAAATTGGACACAACTTAAATGCCCATGAGGAATAAAATGGAAAATACTTACGATGGAATACTGTATATCTGTCAAGTGCAACAAATGAGATCCATGTGTATTAACAGATCTGAAAAATCATGTTGAGGGAGAATCAAGTTGCAGCATGATGCATATAGTACAATGACTTTGTAAATTTTAATTAACACTTCCCTCACAAAATTCAGTACTGTATACTGGTAATGGATACATATATGTATGTAAATGTTTTGAAATGGATTGGAAGGATATAGACCAAACTCTTGATAGTGGTCACCTCTGAAGAGTGGAGAAGGGAAGGGAATGAGTGTGGGAGGTGGGGTGGGGATTGGTTAAAGGGGACTTCAGCTTTTTATATAAACTTCCATTTCTCTTTAAAAAGACTGTAAGTAAATATAAAGATACTAGTTAATTCTGGATTGTGGTATATGGATATCTTGTCTTATTTTTTGTACTTTTCTGTATTTTTAAAATTTCTCAAAATTAATAAGAATGGGGAAGAGAATGAGAATGCTGTACCTGTAGAAATCATGTTATAATGGATTCATTCCCAATCAAATACTAAACTTTTTATAGAAAATATTTCTAAAATTTTATCAACAATGAATGGATGGACTTGCTCTCTATGTAATATGAAATTATCTATTTTATTAAAATTAAAAATGACAGCATACTCCAAATCTGTCTTATTTTAACATGGTACATACTATATGATCTTAAAATTTCTAACATTTTGCAACATATCATTTGAGCTTAGAAATTTTTAAGAACTTTTTGTTAAAGATACATGCACAGGCTTCATATAATTTGTATTTCTCTCATTTAAACTGATTTTATAATGTCAGTTTTCCTGTCCTATAAATTTCCATGGGAATTATACCCATTAACAATTGTTTCTGATAATTTCATTCTTAAAAAGAAAACCATTCAACTTTCCAGAACTTCTACAATTCAGTGACTTAGATGCCAACACCTGGCTCTCAGTTTTAACCTGCAGCTTATTTAATTCCTCCCACTGCTTTGACAGACATAACCTTTTTGTTTCTTTTACAGAGTAGAGAGAGGACGGGATGGGGATGAGAAAAGTGGCTCAGACCCTGAACAGAATTTTATTTCATAAACCAATCTCCTGAAGATCTTTTTTATTTCATCCTTTATCACAGTATAAGCTGATATAAAGAGTGTTATTAAAGGTTTTCTTGAATAATGGTGAACGCCAACAATATACAGTATTTGAGGTTGATTTCAAAACCTTTTTAAAAAGAACTCAAACTGATGAGTTAAATACCATAGTATCACTGTGTATTTTTTATTAGCCTTTTTGAAGGAATGATTATGAATTCTACACTTAAACATCTAAATGAATCCTCCTTTCTAAAATGAAGTTCCCTGCCCCATTTTGTTCTTTGCTTTCCCTGTTTGACTACATATATAGCTCACATTTAAAGGTGTACTCTTTATAATATGGCCTCCAGTATCCATGGGTTTTGCATCCATTAATTCAACCAACCATGGGTTGAAAATACTTAAAAATTTTTTAAAAATAAAATAACTATTTGCATAGCATTTACATTGTATTAGGTATTTTAGGTAATCCAGAGATGATCCAAAGTGTTTGGGAGAATGTGCATAGGTTGTATGTAAATGCTATGTCATTTTATATAAGGAACTTGAGTATCCGCAGGGGGTCCTGGAACTAATCCCCTTGGATACTGAGGGATGATGGTGGTATGAATATAAGCTGTTTTATGAAAAGCCTTGCTTTGAAATTTTGCTATTACTGATGAACAGGAAAGTTAAACACAATTTTGTCATACAAGGCAATGATAACTTGGCATTTACTTAACTCTACTTCCGCTGTCCCCCGCCTCCAGACCAATAAAATGAAATAACTTTACTCAGAAACTGTAATTAGCAAAATACATATGGCAGTCAATCTTAACAACAGCTCAACAAATTTTCATAGAACTGAGAAAAAGGACAGATTGAAATTATGAAAGGGAAAAGTACAAAATAGATGCAGAATATCCTCTATATGTACAATAGACATTTAAATGGCTAAGAAAAGAACAGATGTACCAGATGGAAGTAATGGTTTAAAAATAACAGAAGAAGGACTTAACCTCAGGATGATTAAATACGTACTTTTTACATTTCTCCTAAATAAAAACCCTGGATGTTTATAGAAAATAAAAATAAGACTTCAAGAAAAACAGAGTAGGGACCATGGGACCCAAGGAATAACACAGTAGTGCATAATGTGGGTTTTTGTTTTTCCTCATATATCCCAGACATGGATCTGGAGAAGCTGGCAACCCTGAAATGCCAATAGGTGCAGAAAAAAACAAAACAAAAAACAATAAAAGCATGCCTTCTTTAGCCAAAGAATGAGGAAAGGGGCAGCCTGGTAAGACAAAACACTTAGATAAAAATTGTTCTATTCCAGCCAAACACCACAGAAAAAAACGGCCCCATTCATACCCTTAGCAAAGGCTAAGCCACTGCACCCGACCTATTCTTTCTTAAAATATTTTTTCTGCGTTAATATCGATTTCCTCTACTACTAGGTCTCCAGTGACACTAGAACTTTAGAGCATTTGGTATGTCCCAGAAGTTGCTGTGAAGATCTATTCATTTTTTCAATCTTTTTCTCACTGTTCTTCAGATTGGATAAGACACTTTTCTCTGTTACCTCCATTCTGCTATTGAGCCCATCTTACACATTTTTAAAATCCCTGATCTTGTATTTTTCAATTTTAAAGTTTCCATTTCATGACTATCCATTAAAAATTTCCATTTAGATCTTTTTATAGTTTCTATGTCTCTTTTAAGAAATTCTATATTTCCATTCATTCAAAAGTGTTCATGTTTACCTCATGTAGCACAGTGATCATAGCTGCCTTAAGTCTTTGTCTGACAGTGCCAACATCTGAGTCATCTTGACTTTGGCGCCTGTTAATTTTATTTTCCCCTGATAATTGATCACGTTTTCCTGATTCTTTGTATATCAAATAATTTTGGATTGCATACTGGGCATTTTCTGTCCAGGATTGGAATCAGCCATTTCTCCCAAGAAATCCTGGTTTCTTTTAGCAGGAAATGGTCTATCGATACCATAACCCATGTGCTAGTGATGCATGTTGTTGCTAGACTGGTACAGTAATACTGCCAATTAAAATTCAGAACTATAGGGTATTTACTTAGTTTTTATGTATTTGACATGTATCCAATTCGAATCCTTGTTCTCAATAACCTCAATTAGGATTTTTCTGATGTTTCATCATTTTAGATACAAGTTTTACATTTTCAGCAGAAATACCAGTTATAAATGACATTGCATCCTTCTCAGTGCATCACAGCAGGAGGCACATGATGTTGGTTTATCTATTCTTAGTGATGACATCTTTAAATTTTTTTTTTTTTTTTTTTGAGACAGGGTCTTGCTCTGTTGCCAGGTAGAGTGTGCTGCTGTCATCGTAGCTCACTGTAACCTGAAACTCCTGGACTCAAGCAATCCTCTGCCCTCAGCCTCACCAGTTGCTGGGACTACAGGCATGTGGCCCATGCTGAGCTAATTTTTCTATCTTTAGTAGAGATGGGGTCTGGCTCTTGCTCAGGCTGGTCTTGAACTCCTGACCTCAAATGATCCTCCCACCTTGGCCTCCCAGAGTGCTAGGATTACAGTGTGAGCCACTGCACCCAGCCTTTAATAATTTTGAAAGTTACTGTCAGGTTTCTCCATAGTAAAATGATCATTTTTCTTTTGTAATAATTCGTGAGGCTAATCCTTTGGGACTATGTAAATATCCCCTAGTTTTAGCATCTACTGATGATTGTTGTCTGAATCAATTGTTACCACAATGTTTACAAAAGGGGGATTTTCTTACTCCATCATTCTTTTATATTCTGCTATTAGGAAAGCACCCTCTCCAATCTCAATTACCTATTTATCTGTCACTTTATTTCATATGGATTCACAAACTCCTTTGTAAAGACTGGCCAATTCAGATGCACTCCTTTATCTTTTTGATAAATCTCCATTATTTTTGAGCCCATCCTTATTTTCTAGATCAACAAGATGTTTCAGTTCCATCTTACACTGTTTCTAACTCAGCCCTGAAATTAGCCATTTCTTCAAGGAGGCTTAGTGTTGAAAAGCAAGATCAGGGTGCCAGTGAGCTCACTGCTACTACTGTGATGTCATTGCTTCTAGGCCTTTGTAATCAACAGAGCTTGGAAATACACAAAACTCACATACATTTTATTATATTTCCATATTAAAATAATGACATCATCCTGATGTGTCCAATTCCAATCCCAGCTAACAACTTTCTTCTTTACCTTTTCCCATTTCATATCTGTACTTCCCTTCTTTAAATCTGAGAAACCTAGCTCCTAACTTTATCAACATATTTAATCCTACCACACAGAAAGTAATTTCAAAATTGATGCACCAACACCACTGTAACAAAGAAACATTCCGATTTTAAGGCTGTTTTACCATTATGCCATTCACAAAAATGTTAAAATATCTCAAACATTTAAGATGTTCAGCTTTACTCAGAGAAACGTAACAAACCATACTGAGAGGCAATTTTGTACCTATCAGGTTGACAAAAATTAAAACATTTGACAATAGGCCGGGCGCGGTGGCTCACGCCTGTAATCCTAGCTCTCTGGGAGGCCGAGGCGGGCGGATTGTTTGTGCTCAGGAGTTCGAAACCAGCCTGAGCAAGAGCGAGACCCCGTCCTTACTAAAAATAGAAAGAAATTAATTGGACAACTAAAAATATATATAGAAAAAATTAGCCGGGCATGGTGGCGCATGCCTGTAGTCCCAGCTACTCGGGAGGCTGAGGCAGGAGGATGGCTTGAGCCCAGGAGTTTGAGGTTGCTGTGAGCTAGGCTGATGCCACGGCACTCTAGCCAGGGCAACACAGTGAGACTCCATCTCAAAAAAAAAAAAAAAAAAAACAAAAAAACATTTGACAATACATTCTATTGGTGGGGCTAAGGAAAAACAGCCATGTCATACATTGCTGGTGGCAATGCAAAATTATATAACTTTTGTTAGATGTTTGGTAACAAAATTATGTCTTTACCTTTCAACTCAACAATCCCACTTCTAGGTACTCACAATAATATGAAAATACACTCACAAAATTATTTACTACAGTATTACGTGTAATAGCAAAATATTTTAAAGAATCTAAACCTCCATGTATAAACAATTGTTCATTCACACAGTGGTGCCGCTGTTAAGGGAAAAAAAAGATAATCCTATAAATTGATTTGGATCTAAGAAACAACAAAATGGTGAATTCCTTGGGTTTTTTCCCACCCAAAATGCATCAGTCTTGGAGCCTGAAGAAGCAAGAAACCTGGAGACACCAACAGATTCAGTAAAAAAAGTCCTAACAAAAACCTGCTCTCTGTAGACAACAGACCAGGAAAAGGGTAGCTTAGCAAGACATAAAACTTTTAGATAATAATTACCCTACTTCAACCACAAAAGACAGAAAAACAAACTGGCACCACACATCTATGTTAGCAAAGGCCAAACCTAGACTTTTCTGACTAGACTGTAACAAGGCTCCCCAACCTCCTTACCAGGATGATTTCAGGAAGACCGTGAAGGGAAACAGGAGTATCATCCCAGATGGCAGTTAGGAGGGCCCTTAGAGTCATGTGGAGAATCCAGATTTCTTTCCCCCTACTCAGAGGGAAAGAGATATTGCCCAAACAACCTGCTGGGTTGGTGTCAGAGTAGATGTAGTTTAGAGTCTGTATCTTCACCATTGCCCAGCTCAACAAGGCCACCCCTACCTCCATGGTGTATATGGAGGACACTAATAAGTCATTCCTATCTCTCTTAGCCAGGGAAGTATAAAAAGGAAGGTACTATGGAGCCAGAACTCCCATGTACACCTAAGAGTAAGGAGGACCCCCCTCCCCCAGGTGTCAGTGGAGAGTGAGTGGGAAACCTGGATTTCTAAATACTATATGACACAGCAAAATGGCAGCCCCTCACCCCGATGCCAGAGTGGTGTTAGAGAAACAAAGTTTAAATAAGATCTAGAATCTCATAATAGACAAAGTTCCACATTTCAACTAAAAATCAATCATGTTAACTAGGAAAATCTCTAACTGAATGGAAAAAAAAAACACAAAAGAGCATGGAGATGACAGAGATGTTAGAATTATTCGATAAATATATAATGCAGACATCATAAAAGTGCTTGAAAAATCACAAACACGCTTGAAACAAATGAAATACAAATTCTGAACAAATAGGAAGCCCAGAAAAGAATTAGAACATATACAAAACTAAATCAAAAGCATGGAATTGAAAAATATAACTGAAATAAACTCAGTGGATGGACAAAGAGCAGAAATAGAGGAGATATAAGAAAGAATCAGTGAACTATAACACAAAACAATAGAAATTATCCAATCTGAACAAGAGACAACATAGACTAAAAAAAATGAAAAGAATGAGGAACCTGTTAAACTATAACACAAGATCTAACATTCATGTCACTGAAATCCTGGAAGGACAGGAAATAGAAGACAGGGCTGAAAAAGTACTCAAAGAAATAAAAGGTGAACATTTCCCAAATTTGGCAAAAGACAGATTCAAGAAGCTGAGTGAATTTCAAATAGGGTTAACTTTCTTCCCACCCCCGAAAATACAAAACCACAACACATCACACTCAAACTTCTGAAAACTAAACACAAAATAAAAACCTGGAAAGTAGCAAGAGAGAAACAACACTTTACTTTTAGAGGAACAAAACTGAAAACAGATTTCTCAGGAGAAAACATGAAGGCCAGAAAAAAGTGACATACCTTTTAACTGCTGAATGAAAGAACTCTTAATCCCAAATCCTATTTCCAGCAAAAATACTCTTCAAGAATGAAGGGGACCTAGATTATTGATCATTAGGGAAATGCAAATCAAAATCACAATGAGATACCACTTTAGATCCACTAGTATGACTATAATAAAAATATTTTTTAATGGAAAGTAAGTGATGGCAAGGATGTGGAGCAATATGAACCTTTGTGCATAGCCACTGGGAATGTAAAATGGTCAAGCCTCTGTGGAAAACAGAATGGAGATTCCCCAAAAAATTAAATGTAGAATTACCATATGATGCAGCCATAGCAAGTTTCCTAAGAAACGTCATAATTTCTTCATGCAAAGAACATGTTAAAACTATGATACCAACAAAGTAGGACCAGCTAAAAAACACACACAAAACTATAAGCACAAATATGGAGAGATGTCCAATGATTACTATGCAAATACTTTCCTGAGTTGTTTATATAACCTATACTGGGAGTTCCATTAGATAAGAAAACACCCTGAATCATCTCTAGATTCGTAACTGTACTTTCAAAGTCTGGCTATTCAAAACCTGCCCATTGGTACACCATGCATTCTAGTTCTTCATACTCAAGATCTGTAAAACATGAATATATGTACTATGTATAAAAATAAAGGCATATGGATACAATGTTCCACCACAAACAAAATATGGCTATTTCATGACATACTCAGTAAATCAGCAGACAGGACAACACATACAGAGATACCACAGATACTTTTTATTTTCATGGCAGCCACTGAAATGTCTGGGAAAGCGAAAATAAGGAAGAGTAGAAAGTCCAAGAGAATATGACTCACATATTACAAAGTCTTTAATGGATTAAGGCTAGAACACGCAACAAGTTAGACCAGTGGTCCCCAACCTTTTTGGCACCATGGACCAGTTTCATGGAAGACAATTTTTCCACAGACTGTGAGGAGTTTGGGTGTTGTGGTTGGGGGGAGATGGTGTGGACCTCAGGTGGTGATATGCGGCCCATTTCCTAACAGGCCACAGACCTGTACTGGGCCATAGCCTGGAAGTTGGGGATCACAGAGTTAGACCCAGGCTAAACACCTAGGAAAATGATGTAGGCTTGCATCCTTGTTCATGAGTATAATTCTTTTGCTAGTCTTGACTGTTAGTATATAATAGTATTTATTCACCTACAAGAAACTCTTACTTTCAAATGAAAATCCCTAGGTTCTCACAGTTCTGAATATAAATGTAACCTCATCTACTTGTTCTAGTTACTTTATTCTGTTTATCCTGCCTGTACTGTTAAAAAATCTTTAAGCATAAATACAAATTAAGGCTAAATTTAATAAAGTTCTGTCTAGACAAGGTATTATGTATTTGATATTAAAGCCCCTTCAAGTCTAAATTTTTGTTTTTTTTCATCACCTAGATTTTTTTGCTCTGAAATTATCTGCAAGATCAGGACTGACAAGCATGTTTCCATTTACTACTGATTGGCAATAGCTGTCCCTTTCTATAGGCCAGAGGGCCTGTTTAATATTTTTAATGTCAGATACTTGAACCACAAACTATCCAACCACTTATTCAGACATGGCTTTACAGTTCTAAATTGTTTGAAAAACTGAATTTAAATTCCTACTGAGTTTTGTTACATGTAATGATTTCACATATCTATTAAATGTTGGTTATAAGTAATCTTTCCCAAGAAGGGCCTTTAATAAAACTGTTCAAGTTGCTGCTGAACTTATTATTTTCACAGAAAAGATGCTGTGGAAGTTACTGTCTTAGCAGCTTTCCAATTCTCAAACTTCAAAATGTCTCTAGTAATCTTTTTTATTTGGGATTTTCAGAAACCTTTGTGAGACAGATTAAGGTATGGAAGGCTTATTTTATATGAATTATTTTTCATAATTTCCCTGAGTACTTTCACATTTTACTCATCTATTTCCCTTATTAATATCCCTTTATCTATATAAATTCTAATTCTTTGATGTTGAGTAAGATGTAAGTGATGGCTAAAATACCCCCAAAATAATGACAACTATAGGATTTCCCTCCAATATGAATTCTCTGGTTTTGTGTTTTGTAAGGGTTGAGTGACAGCTAAAGGCCTTTCCACATTTATTGTATTCATATATCCATGACTAACAGCCTTCTCACAACTATCAAATTATAAGTTTCCTTTTTAGTAGGAATTCTCCAGTTTGAATGACTACTAAAGACCTTTCCACATTGATTAGTTAGATCTGTTTCTGTCCAAAATGAATCATGTAATGTTGAGAAAGGTCTGAGATGCACGACCTACCAAAGCTGAAAAAACTTACATACACCTTGGACTGAATTAATTCCAGTCTTACGTATAAAATCAACAGAAATACATATATAGCCCCAAAAGACATAAACAAGAATACTTATAGCAGTATATTTATTATAACACAAAATTATAAAAAATACAAATATCCATCAATAGGATAAATAGCAGTATATTCTTAAAATGGAATAGTAGACAAAATGAAAATACACTACTGCCACATGCAATAATGTACAAATCTTAAAAATGTTCACTGAAATAAGACAAAAGAATTCATGATGTATAATAAAAAATATAAAGTTTAAAAACATGCAAAAACTACTTTATGACATTATAGGCTAGGAAAGTAGTAATCTTTACGGAAGTAGCAACTAACTCTTTGTATTACACAGAGTGGAAGGAGAAATACAGTTCATAGATATGTCCTCTCTTATAGAGACTGATGCTTACAATTGTTTTATATCTTGCCTCTGCACATATTATGTATTTTTTAAAATAAACTATTTGAGTCAGCAGGAGCAGCTGAAAACCTTAAAAGTTAGCTTCGTATCTGATGGAGTTCAATAATAATGATAACATCCATTTTATATGCTAGTAAACATTAGAGAAATAGTTACGTGTTTTGGTACTTTCATTTAATAACTATTATTACATTTGTGATTAAAATTACATTAACCTGTTTAAGCATGCTTTTCTTTTTAAAACTAAAGGTTTACAATAATTTGGAAAGGGTTCACAAAGAAATCACACCATTTATTGTATTTCTACGTTTTCTCCCTTGTGAGTTCTTTGATGGACAATGAGGTTTCTCTTATAACTGAAGGACTTACCACACTCATTACAAACATAGGGCTTCTCTCCTGTGTGAGTTCGCTGATGTACAATGAGATTTGTCTTCTGGCGGAAGCACTTCCCACATTCGTTACATTTATACGGTTTCTCTCCTGTATGAGTTCTTTGATGATGAATGAGATATGACTTCCTGCTAAAGGCTTTCCCACACTGAGGACATTCATAGGATTTCTGCCCTGTATGTATTTTCTGATGTACAGTGAGGGTTGCTTTCTGGCGAAAGGACTTCCCACATTCGTGACAGATATAAGGTTTCTCCCCTGTATGAATTCTCTGATGTAGATTGAGATTTGTTTTCTGACTGAATGATTTCCCACATTCATTACATTCATATGGTTTCTCTCCTGTGTGAGTTCTGTGATGATCAATGAGATATGACTTCATTCTAAAGGCCTTCCCACAATGAGGACATTCATAAGATTTCTCCCCTGTATGTGTCCTCTGATGTGCTACGAGGGTTGTTTTCTGGCGGAAGGACTTCCCACATTCATTACAAATATACGGTTTCTCCTCGTTATGGGTTTTCTCGTGAAGAGCAAGGGTTGTCTTCTGGGAGAAGGATTTTCCACATTCGTTACAAATATAGGGCTTTTCCCCTGTATGAGTCCTCTGATGTACAGTAAGGTTTGCCTTCTGGTGAAAGGATTTTCCACATTCTTTACAAATATAGGGTTTCTCCCCTGTATGAATTCTCTGATGTAAAGACAGTGTTGTCTTCTGGCGGAAGGACTTCCCACAGTCATTACAAACATATGGTTTCTCTCCTGTGTGAGTTCTCTGATGACGAATGAGATGTGACTTCAATCTGAAAGCATTCCTACATTGCAGACATTCATATGATTTTTCCCCTGTGTGTGTTCTCTGATGGTCAGTGAGGGCTGTCTTGAGGCGGAAGGACTTACCACATTCATTACAAACAAAGGGTTTCTCTCCTGTGTGGGTTCTTTGATGATCAATGAGATACGACTTCCTTCTAAATGCATTTCCACATTGATGACATTGATAGGGTTTTTCCTCTGTGTGAATTCCCTGATGCAGGATCAATACTGACTTCCTGCAAAACGATTTCCCACATTCATTGCAGGTATGTTTTTTTTCAATATTGGTTGCTCTTCTCTTTTTATTATATACAGATGGGTTTTCCCCTCTGTAAGCTCTATTATGTGTAATTAAGCCTCCTCTTTTAAGGAATGATTTTTCACAGTCATTATATCCAAATGACTGCACTGGAGTTTCCATTTTCTGATACTGCATAAGCACTTCATTATGACTAAAAGCTCTGCCACTTTGATTATGGGATTTGACTCCAGGAAGAGCTGTCTCTTGCTTAGTACTGAGGAGTGATTTCCCATATCCATTATACTCACTAAGTCTCTTTCTTGCAGGATTTAGATTACTGATGATTAATTCTGAAACATTTTTCAAAATCTTTCCATGGGCGTCATATTCAGGAGGTAGATTTTTTGAATTAACAGGGTTTTTGCCTAGAGTAAATGTCTTTTCATATACATTATTCTTCTTGTTAACCAGTTTTTTGTGGTTGATACATACAACTGATCTAAAATACTTATCTTGCTGTTCCCTGAATTTCACCAGAAAGTCTTCAGCTTTCCAGTTTTCTTCTAGAAAAGAATATAGTTAATAACAATGTGTGACTCTTCCCACATTTGCTATGGAAAGGAATTTTACTATAATCTACCACATGAGGCCAAAAGAAACTCAGGAAAAATTACCCTCCGTCTGGATTAAAGAAACATAGAACCTTAACAAAAATGGCTTCAGTGTGGAAAAGGATGAAAAAATAAGCAATAAACATTACTAATACCTCTTGCCCTTTGCATAAGAACTTTATAGAGAAAGTGAAACAAACTGAGAAGTCAAAGAATGATGAAAGGATTGATGGTTAGATAAGTAAATTCAGAGACAATGAAGTGAACCTATCAAACGCATTAGAATGGACAAGAAAAATTAGTAGAAATGTTTATTCAGGGAAAATATCAGATGAAAGATTATTTTTGGAGAATACCAATTGCCTATACCTTTATACATGCCCCCCTAGATTACTGTGGTAAAACACTTCCAGTTGTTTCACATACTAAACTCTTCATGTATCAATTAATTTTCTAATATTTAGAAAAACAATCCTATAGTCTATGCTCTAATCCTCCATATGCCTGGGAATCATTTTCTCTTCTGAGGGGAGAATTAGGAAAATACTTCCAACAGGAACTTTAAAACAGATCAGAATATATTCAATTGCTCTATTCTGACTGCTGGTAAATCAATTCTTTTGAAATTGTTCAATAACAAAACTCTCATGACCATCAATTATAACTATTCTTCTTTTCAGGTGCTGACTTACTTTTTTATGTTTAAGGAAAAGACTGGCTTGTCTCTCCTCAATGCAGTAACATTCCTTCACCTCAATTTTTCGTACAGCAGACCAGATTGCTCAATTCATTAATGTTATCCTTCATTTCTCTTATAAACTAATAACTATTTCTGACTTTAGTTATCTTGCAATCATCCATATCTAATGGAAAAATGTTAAAGCTAGGCTCAAAACTCTACCTCTTCCTTGAGTTCATTATGCCCCCTACTAACACATACAAGGAATTTCTCCTATAAAAAAACCTTTACATCATCTAGATTCACTTTTTATATTCACACAAGTTTTTAGGGTTGTCCACATAGCTGACAAATCTCGCCCATAACAAGTAATTTTAGCCTCAGTCAGACCTTGTACTTATTGCCCTATAAATACCTTACTTATTCCTAATGACAAACCTGTGCTAATGTTCTTTTCATCTTATTTCTACTCATATTTAGAGAATCTTCAAGGAAATCCTACCATCCATGATCTCAAAAACCCTTCACATATTTCCCCCACCACTTTAAGCTGTTTCTTTAAAATTTGAACATAAATATGGTCTAGAAAAAACATTTTAAGAAATTTTTAACAATTTTGCACTCTGACATAATATTTCATTAAAAAATACAGATGTTCTGTTCTAGAGCCTTATTTAAGGGAAAAAAATGCAGATGTGATAGTAATCCTTTAGAAAGGAATATTTTATTGATTTACCTTCTTTAAATGCTTATAAGTCTACATTATCACTGTGTATCACGGTTATGTGGTATTTGGCAAAATCCAACCACTTTAAACAGAATCTATAGGGCCACAGGTGTGCAGCTGTAGTCCCAGCTACTTGGGAGGCTTATGCAGGAAGATTAGTTGAACCGAGGAATTCAAGTCCTCCCCAGGCAAAAGAGCAAGACCTCATCTCTTAAAAAAAAATCTACAGGGCCACAGCCTGAGCTGATAGAGGAAAGTACCAGTACATTCTTTCCTCCCCTACATAGCTCCACGAACAATTAAAGCAGTAACTACTTAATACCTAACATGTTACATACAGTGATAAAGATTCAAAGGGCATTTTATCTTTAGGGAAAGAATCCTTAAGCATAAACCTTATACAATCAGGCATCAAATTACATAATTGTTTTTAAGAGTTTCGTGTGTGTTTGTGTTACAGTTAATAGGTAGCACAGAAATTCAGAAAAAAGAAACGTAGATATGATGTGAAAGTAATCAAGGAACAGTTTATGGAGAAATCTTGAGACTGAAAAGATACATAGTACATGGAAGGGAGAACACAACATAATGAAAAGTACCTATGTGATGACAAACCCTACATTTATGGAGACCATTTAGGAGACTAGGTCAAGTGCAAATTAGCAAGAATTTTGTCCAAGACAAAGTTGAAAAGACCAGATGAGGGCTTATTGTGATAGTCTCTGAAAGAAGAGGAATTCTAATTTCATATAATAAGTAATAAAAAATAAGGAACAAGTGATGGTATATCTTGTTGGGAAAGTAACAATATACATTGAATTAGGACAAAAGTTATAATGAAGACATGAAATAAGTTAGTTGTCATTTTGTATGGTGTCAGTGAGAAATGAAAATATGAGAGGATATCAATATATCTCACAGGTTGATAAACATAACACAAATTGTAAAAAGACCCATAAGAAATAACAGAGACAAAAGAATCAAGCTGACTTCATGGCAGGAATAAAATAATTTAGAAATACATAGATAATGGGAAAGAATGTAAGAGCTGGGAATATGAGTGATTTTCATTTCTGACACACTGTCACAAAATAGGTGAGGTGACAGACTGTAGTGCTCCTTAAGAACTACAGTAAAGGTGGGTGAAATGCATTGAGTTTGTTGATAATAGAGCCATCTATATAAAACAAAGAGCTTAAGGTCTGAGAATGGGTAGGATTATTGTAATTTAAAGGCAGATCACTTGCAGACAAATTAGAGAAATAAGACCGAGAGTCCAGTGAAACAACATAAATTTATTTAAAAAAGTAAAATCTGTGTAACTATTGTGTGTCAGGCATTGTTCAGGCGATATAGTTACAGTGGTGAAGAAAAGAGACCAAATTGTAAATAAGCATTTAATGAATCAGAATAAAAATGAGTTACTGTTGTTTTATCCAAACCAGGTATTAATTTCAGAAACAATGATCATATAAAATGAACCACAAAGGTATAATGGAAGAAACCGGTGAGTCTGGAATTACCAGTCTAGGCTGGGGCAAGTGAGTTTTAAAATTAATAGCTAGATTTGTGGTGAGAATGGGAAATTAGACTTAGCACAGAAAACAAATCTGAGGTATTATGAAGGAAAGGTTAAAAAAGAAATGGTAAGTAACTAAGGACAGGAACATTAACCAAGAATTTTCTTTTTTAAAGACAGATTTAAGAATGCCTGAAAGAAAAAAAAAAAACTATCGCAACAGCAAGGACTGAGAATGCTAGAAAAAGAGATACAAACAAACAAAAAAAAGATCTAAAAGAAAGAAGGTTTATAGCACATTTTGAATAAGTTAAGAGTGGCAAATATCTTTGATAACATCAAGCAAACTAGGAAAGAATATATTTGGAGAGAGTGGTATTTAATAGTCTGGTTTTAAGTTTTATGGACATGAAGGCCATTTCAAAGATCAGAAGACTTTAAAGACACTCCTAAAATATTTCAAAGGTAGACCACCCACCACCTGACCCCTTTAAATGAACTTTCCACTAGATTTCGTCTGCCTGGGAGTCAGAAACTCACCTAAGCAGGTAAGACCTGCAAATGATGCCCATGGCTCTTCTCCTTGCTCCAACTTGAGGATGACATCAGGTTTGGTCATGTGACACCCTGATAAAGGAAAATAAGACTTAAGTTTGCTATGCTTTAACACCATTGAAAAACAAGTAAGGTGCATGGTTCAGTACTGCAAACTGAGACACTCAATTGGGTAATAAACTTAGCACCTTGAAGTGGGTAAGTGAAGAATATAATCTTTCTTTCTGCCAACCAAAAGAAACTCATCACCTCTTCCCCCTGAAATTCAAGACTATACATACTTTAGGCAATCGGAGAGGAAATACATGTATTGAAAGTTTTCAAAGTTTTTCTTACCAACAGAGATGAGGTGGCAATAGTTTTCCAACATCACATCCATATATAGAGTCTTCTGAGCAGGGTCCAGGTGCTGCCACTCCTCCTGAGTGAAGTCCACAGTCACATCTTTGAATGACACTGATCCCTGAAATGGATGGAACTATAATCAGGGTAGGTTGACTAGATATTGGGGACTACTTTTGACCCTGCTCCTTTGTGGCATTCATAAAAAACTTGTTAAGAAAGATAATCATTTTCCCTGTTTTATGATTTACATTGTGGGGGAAACAAATATCAAGGTAGAAATACCTATCACTGAATTTTTAAATAACATTCTGAAAATATTTACTGTGAAATCACTTTATGCCCAAACACTTATTAGTTTACTAAGATGCCAAAACAAACAAAACACGCCCCACAGACATGTAACATATACTTGCAAGAAACTATGTGTAAACACAAATCTGCAAGAAGGTATTACAGGTAGAACATAGACAAGATATAGCTTATAACAATTTCTTAGGCTTCACTAAGGGACAAATTATTTCCCCTTCAAGATGAATATGTTACATAGGAAGAAAATGGTTTTAAAATACACGGTAGGATTTTCAGCATCCAGCAATAACAGACTGAGATGGTCAAGAAAACACTCCCTCAGACAATAATTATAAAATCTGGACACAATATACAATAAAAAACTAATGGAAGGCACTGGAAAGTGACAAAGCAGGCAGAAATTGGACAAGAGCTTACCCTTGAAGGACGGCAACTGCAATGTGTAAAAATTGCTAATTTTGTGGCTTTGCTGCATCAGAGAACCTGAAACTCCATACTTTCTGCAGCACAGAACCACCATTTACTTCCTCAAAGGTGACAGAGGATAGAATTTAGAGCTGGCAGATGAGCTGGAAATTTGGGTAAATTCTGGAAGCAAGAGAACTACACAAAGAATGAGACTCAAAATCTGAATATAAACTCTTATTTTAAAAACCCTGGTTGATAAAATATGCCTGTGTTGGAGAGATCACAGAGAGGGCTTAGCAAAAAGCAGGCAAAAAGAAACCAGAAGAAAGTCTTGAAAAACGAAGTGCACCTAGTGAGATTGTAAGGATTCTGCTTTTTAACTGACAGCATTCCACAAACTGTTCACAGCTCAAGCAGAGGAAAACTGAAGCCTTACTGGACTGAGGTGTCAGAGCCTGGGGCTGACAAAGCAGCAAGAAGTGTAGGGGGGTAAAACTCTAGAAGCAAGAAAATTGCAGGAAGTAAACCTCAAAGTCTAAGTATAAACACTCACCAATTCCTTGATTGAGAGCTAAAGTACAAGAACAAGGGACACCCTATCTGCCCGCAGGAGGCTAGGGTAAACAGTAGCAACTAGAAGCTTAAAGAATCAAGGGGCTATATTAGCTGCTTCATAATGACAGGGGAGGCAAAGTTAGAGATTTGATTCCAAACAAGCTAACTGCCTACTAAAAAAACCCAATAATCCTAAGAATGCAACAGACATAATAACAGAATTCAGATTATTATTTATGATGCCCAGCTTTCCAGCAAAAATTACTAGACATGCAAACCAAACAAAAAGGGTGTGGGAGAAATGACCCATAGTCACAAAAAGACAGTCATAGAAAATAATTCCTAGTGGGCCCCGCTGCTGGATTTTGCCAAAAAAGGCTTCAAACCAGCTGTTCTAAATGTGTTCAAAGAAATAACGGGAAACCTGGAGTAGAATCTCAAAATGCAAACTATAAAATGCAAAATGTACCAAATGAAAATTCTAGTGCTAGAAATAAATGAAATGAAATATTCAGTAGATAAGCTCAATAGCAGAGCAGAAATATAAAGGGGAAGTAAAAATAAAGAAAAATGAACAGACTCACAAAGACCTGTGGGTGAATTTCAAAGTAATCCGACACAACATAACTGGAGTTCCAGAATGGGGAGGAAAAAAGAAAGGGTATGAATAAATTTTAAGGAAATATTGGCCTACCAGATCCAAACTTAGCAAAAACTTTTCTTAGCAGAAACTTTTAACTTACATATTCAAAGAGCTTAACGAACTCTAAAAGGATAAAAACCAAAGAGAACCACCCTTAGCCACAACCTAATCAAACAACCTAATCAAACTACTAAAAGCCAGAGATAACATCAATCAAGAATTCTATATCCAGCAATACCATTTATTAAAAATAAAAGCAACATTTTCAGATAAAACCTGAGAGAATTCATCACTAGCAGGACTGCACCAACAAAAACATTACTAAAGGAAATTCTTCAGGTTGAAGGTAAAAATAACACCAGATGATAACTAAGATCAAGGAAAGAATGAAGATAAGAAAAGTTATACATAAGAGACTATATTCATTCCTTTTCTTCTCTAAAAGAGATGACTGTTTCAAGCAGCAGTTGATAAACATCTTCTGCTATTTTAGCAGGAAAGTAGCCATAGACAATATGTAAATGATGAGCAAAGCTGTGTTTCAATAAAACTTACGTATGGACACTAAAATCGGAATTTCATAAAATTTTCATGTGTCAGGAATATTTTTCTCTTACATTTTTTCAAACACAAAACCATTCTTAGTTCACAGTCTTTACAAAAACAGGAAGCAGACAGGATTTGGCCTGTGCGTTGTAGACTTTTGGTTTAAAGTAAACATTTTAATAAAATTTATTACAAACATAAATACCACATAATGGCAAACATAAAAACAAGATGGAGGGGTGTCAGTAAATTAAACTATAATGTTGCAATATTAATTTTTTTTTAAGACAGAGTCTCATTCTGTCATCTTGGGTAGAGTACAGTGCTGTGATCATAGCTCACTGCAGCCTCAAACTCCTGGGCTCAAGTGATCCTCCTGCCTCAGCCTCCCAAGTAGCTGGCACCACAGTGTGTGCCACCACGCCCAGCTAATTTTTTCTAATTTTGGAAGAGATGTAGTCTCGTTCTTGCTCAGGCTAGTCTCAAACTCCTGGCCTCAAGCGATCCTCTTGCCTTGGCCTCCCAGAGTGCCAGGATTACAGGCGTGAGCCACTGCACCCGGCCAACAATATTGATGTATTTTACCTTAAGTAACTTAATATTAACCCTAAGAAAACCATAAATTAAAGATGTATACTGTAATCCTAGAGCAACCACAAAAAAAAAAAAAAAAAGCAAACACATTAGAATGTAGGAACAGAAAAACACAAACAGGTTAGGAGGAACCTAAATGCACATTACTAAGTGAAATAAGTCAATCTGAAAAGGCTATGTACTGTAGCCTTCCAGATTCCAACTGGACGTTCTGAAAAAGGCAAAACTTTGGAGACAGTAAAAAGATTAGTGGTTGTCAGGGATTAGGCAGGGGGGAGG